ATTTAAAAAGATTTGTTTGAAAATTGGGCTGCTTAATAAAATTATTATTGCGTAAAATGTATTTATTTTTATCTTTTGATGAATACAAATTATGGAAAGAAATCGGGGATGAATTGGTTTTACATTTAAACATAAAACAAAGAATATTAAAAATATTAATCTCATATATATTAAAAACTTTCATTTCAAATAAAAGAGGCTTGGCATGAGTATAACGGTCTTTAAAATATATAAGACGTGCTAAATGCTTCTGCTGACAATAAAGAGGTTTAAGTTTGTTTTTATTTGCACTACCCCAAGCAATGTTTGCATAGTTTATGTGGCAATGAATAAATGAGTGATATAATTGTACTAAAGTTTGTTTATTTAAGACATTTCTCGCTTTGTACAATATTCCTATACTTTTTGAAATTTTACTTGATAAGTTTTAAATGTGATTTTTCCATGTAAGATTTTCATCTAAACAAACTCCTAGAAAATTAGTTACTGTTACTTTTTTAATTTGTATATTGTCAATAACAAGTGGAGGCATGTTAATTGGCAGTTTATGTTTTTTGGTAAGAGGATGGAAAAGAATCCATTTAGTTTTATCAATGTTCAGGGATAGTTTGTTTGTCTTAAACCAGTCAGATATTTTGATTAACTCGATGTTCACGTTATGAAATAAAGTAGGAATGCTTTTGTGAGACATAAATAAATTAGTGTCATCAGCAAACATAATTGTTATTAAATTCGAGGCTTTGTATAGATCATTAATATAAATAAGGAAGAGAAGAGGTCCTAATATGGATTCTTGAGGAACTCCACATGTAATATTTAACAAATTTGATGAAAATGATTTATCAGCATAAACAAATTGTTTACGATTAGTTAAATAATTTTTCAACCATTTTAAAACATTGCCTATTATACCATAATATTCTAATTTTTTAATAAGAATTTGATGATTAGTTGTATCAAACGCTTTCGCTAAATCAATAAATATTCCCAATGTAAATTTAGAATTGTTAAATGAGTCTGATATACTTCTTGTAAACTGAATAATTGCATGCTCTGTTGAATTATTTTTTTTGAATCCATATTGCATGTTATATAAATCTGCACTTAAGTACCATTTAGGCATTTTTAAAAAGGGAGATCTCCTTTCATATTCCAAACGTGTAATTAAGAGCCATTGTCTGAGAAATCCAGGCAAGTCTGAGAAATCTAGGTAAAGTCTGGAAGTGATGTCTTTAAATTGTTCTCATTTTCAGATATTTTGTAAAAAAACAATGAAAATAGACCACTAGTAAATTTTTTTTCAAAAATTTTTATTCGTTTAGGAGATATTGGGTCCCAATATTTGGACCATTTTGTGAAAATATTTGCGCAAGGTGTGATTTCTACAATAAAAGTAAAAATTTAACTTGGTTACATTTTTAGTTGTCTAGAAATCATGGTTCGAAACCACTAAATTTGAAATTTTACCCTAACTTTGAGCTCTAATATCTCCTAAGGCCATTACTTGCACGTAGTTTTCTTAACTATTTTTTAAAGGCACTAAGACATACATTGATTATATGGAACAAAATTTATGTGCATGCAAGTACCTGGGAAGGAGTAACCTGAAAATCACTTTTTGCGTTCAACGCGTCTTAATAAATTACCCATAACAACCGTGGCCTTAGGTCTGCCATAAACAGTATAAGTTATTTAATTTCCTTAAACATGCATCTTCCAATATCTGAAAAAAAAAATCCATGCGCTTGGATGATTAAAAGTCTACAGGAGTCCTAGAAGTAGCCTTATTTCGTCAAATTTTTTATCAAAAAAATACCCTAGCGACGGTATAGATATCTTAGCCACAGCTACTTTACAGTTTTAATAATTAGTACTGTAATTAAAAATTTCGTTATAATACATTTTTATAACGGAACTGTAAAAGAACATTTGACAAAAATTACATTGTAAGCATTTTTATGTAACAAAGTACTTAACAAAAGGTTGAAGTGATGCAATGGCAACAGAATTGTTAAATGTTAATTTGCACTCCATAATGTTTCTTCTTATGTAACGCAGTAAAAACTTCTAAATGTCGTGATTGATATCTTATTATGTCAAATAAAATGTCAAATTCGAGTTTTTCTTTTAAAATACTCATTTTTTAAATATCTTGTTGTATGATGTTTTGTATTTGTTTTCGAAATAGCATTCGGCAGCTAAATTTTACATTGAAATTTTATAATAAGTGCTCACTGAGAAATAATGATTTGCTAAATGAACTATTTTGATATAATACATTTTTATAACAGAGATGTACATGAGCATTTGATAAAAACTAGTTTTTTAACTTTGTCAATGAAAGAAAGAACCATTAAACTCAACGTTTTTTTCTTTAAAAATTGATGTAAAATACAGTTTTCTAATAATTATAAACAAACAAAAAAATAAAAAAAAATTATCAATAGCCAACCTGAATTCCCACGTTGTCAATACTATTTTTTGAGAGAGAATAATTTCCTCTCTAATTAGTTGGTGTTAGTGCATAAGTCCTCCAACAACGTCAAGAGATGAATGTTGAAGGATATTTGTTTTTTGCTTTAAAGAATATCTAAGTACTTTTCTTTTTGGTAATGCCTATCCAGTGATATTTGTGAAGTTTTCCACCATTTGTTTATTAATAGAATGGGATAATAGCAGGTGTTCAGAAGAGTTAAGGCTTGAAATAAGGTTCATTTTGTTGACATTAGAACGTTTTGCCCTCTCTACCATAGATTTTACCACAGATTGAGAAGAGTGATTTTCTGAAAGCATGTGTTCTGCTAATAATTCAGTATCATAAAACTATTCAGTTCAACCATTTTGTATACAAACTTAAGAGCGTTAACACTTCTATCAACACGTTTTTTTTTGGAAACTGATGTTGGAGTATAACTTTTGGAATTTGAACTTTAGGACTTAAAAATTTGAACCGAAAAGTAGAATGTCACATTAGTATAGTTCGATTTTAACATTTACCAATTTGGAAGTCTCCACATTATCATGTGATCAGAGAAAAACTGAAAAAAATGATAACTGTTTATGTTCGGAATCAGATTTGGTCCTGATAAAGTAAAAGCTTTGGAGTCTATTGGAACTTCATCGATATCAGCATTTTGAATTCCTTTGCCATCATGAAGAGCCTCATAAATATTTTCTGTAGTCAATAAATTGTTTCCAGCATCGACAAAACTCTATATGACACATTTAGCTCCTGCTGACTCTATGTCATATTGACCTCGTGATGGCATATTGTAATCATACCTTTTAAGCAAGAATTGCTTTACTTTGCAAACTTTGTAAATGACTTCTAAGTAGAAGTTACCATGATTAGATGATGCGTTATCTGACATAGCATAAGGGTTTTTTAAACAAAGAAAATCATTTCTAACTTTGGCCAAAACAACATCAGCAAAACAGAGTACATCAACAAGGCTTTGCTGTCATCTATAAACAGCAGTGAAAAAACCTTTTTTTTTTCTAATTGACCATTTACCTGAACTGTGCTAACATCATTTCAGCAATCAACCACGAACCTGGTTGATTGCTAAAATACTACTTTACTTTTGTAAAGTACTTTGTTACATTAAAAATGCTTACAATGTAATTTTTCTCAAATGTTTCCTCACAGCTCCGCCATAAAAATGCATCACATCGAAATTTTCAATTAATAATTACAGTACTAATTATTATAGCTGTAAAGTAGCTAGTAGCTGTAAAGTTGTTATATTTTTAATAAATAAAAATCTTTAAAAATTGTGTACATTGTTATTGAAAAAAAAAGTAACTGTAATTTATTTTTGCACATACTTTATATTTGAATTACCCCCTGGATTTATAGCGTTTTAAAGCTCTCCAACTATTTTTTGATAGTTTTTTTATATTTTTTGCTTCATTTTTATTGAGCTTTCGAATGGTGATAAATTGTCTGATTTTGAAAAAATAAAATTCTGTTGCTATGGACTGGTGCTAGTTTCCATGGAGACCATTTATGGTTATTTTGAAAGTGGGTCTGAGTATCATACCAAATGTTTTAACCTCATCATTAAATCCAACAAGTTTCATGCTTTTACCCTAAAAAGCACAAAGTTGCAATTGCACAAGACTTTACACAAATAAAGCAAAATATTGCGGATATAAGCAACTAAGTTCCATATCAAAACTACCGTTAGCCGAATCTGACATTTTAAAATTAGTCGCAGTTTTAAGTAATCCTTGTAATCAAATTTTGATACTTAAATGAGAATAATTTTTTGTAGAATTGTCATTTTGTTATGAAATTTTTATTAATGTAGTACTGATTTTAGCCTCTTTCCAACGATATATAATAATCAATAATTATAATAGTTTGAAATTTTTACACACGTACCTACGTAATGTGAACAGCGTATTAGAAGAAAAAACAAAATAAGAAAAGAGTATATAAAATTATTAATTAGAACAAAATTACTTTAAAAGAAAGTTAAAATAATAAAAATCAATATATATTAATAATAATAAGCGTATGTTTATATATATATATATATATATATATATATATATATATATATATATATATATATATATATATATATATATATATATATATTTTATATATATATATATATATATATATATATATATATATATATATATATATATATATATATATATATATATAATATATATATAATATATAATAACATATATATTATATGGTTATTTGAATAAATATTTTAGGTATATTTTAATAATTATACGTTTCTTATCAATATATATATATATATATATATATATATATATATATATATATATATATATATATATATATATATATATATATATATATATATATATATATATATATTTAACATCATATATATTTAACTACATATATATTTAACATCATATATTTAACATATATATTTACACATATATATGTTAAACATACATATGTATAAATATTTAACATCATATATATTTATACATATATATTATAAATTTAGTTTAGAAAAATATGTCTATATTATATGATCCTGAGGAAGAGTTTAGGAAATCACATAGTTCTTACTCACGCCGGTCACATGATAACTACCAATCAGAAACTGCAATTAAATATGATGATTTGCTAGTTTTCGGTTATGAGTGTAAATTATTTAGAGATGATCAACAAGCTGAATCAGTTAATAAAGGAGAGACATTAATTCCTTGGATGGGAGATAAAATGCTTTTAATTGACAGGTGTGTTTTAAAATTTTTTTACTTATTGGTTTAATTATATAACTTTAGTTCATGCACTTTTTTTAACTTGTAAAAGTACATGTTTTAGATATGATTGTCGAGGTCATTTGTACCACATTGAGGAGTTTGATTTCAGTAAAACTGTTTCTAATGATTCTATATCTCCAGAAGAGCTGGAAATTGAAAAAATTTGTGATGAAGAGAGATATTTGAGTTTAAACAAAGATATGATCAATGAAGATATATTAAAAGGTTTTATATATATATATATATATATATATATATATATATATATATATATATATATATATATATATATATATATATATATATATATATATATATATATATATATATATATATATTTATATATACACATTAAAGTACTTGGGATATTAATAACCATAATATTAATTCTAATAATTTTTGAATAAATAGTATTATAGTAGGTAAATAAATTAAAATGTTGTCTGTAGCCATGAAAAAAACAGAGTTCAAATTAAATAAGCAATGTTCTCCATGTATCTTTTTCTATGAGATCTAATGGCAGATGGCTCACACTTTAGAATCTCAATTTAGTTTAACAGATAAAAATAAATTAGTTTATTAATGACTAAGTTTTTAGCCAATAAAGTTTGACTCTCTGGGATTCCTCAAAACTCCTTTATTAAAGTATTTTTGAGAAAGTTATTGTTGAGGTCCTCAGGTGTTAATTATTTATATGGACAAGAAAGTTAATGCCCAGGTTAAATTTCAATAAAATTTATTTATTCAGTGATAAGAGATATTATTTGTAGAAGAGAGAAAGAGATGCAATTTTACAACGATGGGAAAGAGGCTCAAGCATAGCAGTTAGACTATGTTTACAATGCATTTTTGGGCCTTGTCCTGAAGAGAAAGAGTATCATTAGTTGAACTAGCCCAAATATAACAAAAGTATTCTATAGGGACAAATAAGAGATTTGTAGAGGTAGAGAATGGAATCAGGAGTAAGAAAATGGCTAGCACGATAAAGAGAAGCAACCTTATTATTGCTAAATTAGCAGATGTTAGTTTAGGAATCAATTGTATATATGGTTTCCATGAAAGGTCAGTAGTAAACGATAATCCAAAAAAATGTTAAGCAGAGGACTCAGTGAGAGGGTTGCTATTCATTAATATAGGAATGTTCACAGTATTGCGATAGTTGTTTGCAGTATATAACTGAGTTTTGTTTGAATTAAAATTTACAAACCACTATAAGTCCTTATCTGTTACAGAAGTAAGATCAGGTTCAAGATCAGCTGCTTGTTCTAAGCAATCGAAAAGAGATTTTTTGTCAGTAATAGCAGTATAAAGTTAAGTAATTAACAAAAAAAGCTTTAAATTTAAGGTTGTCAGAAAGATCATTAATGTAGGTAAGAAACAAAACAGACCCAAAGATACCCCAGAAGTTACTGTATCTGGAAAGTTTTTGAGATTATCAAATTGTTTTTTTTTTTTTAACAGTTTTATTATTGTCATCCTCAAAAGTTTTTTATTGACCTTTGAGGCTATATGAAACAAGCTTATAGAGAATACCAGCATGCCAAACTTTGTCAAAAGCTAAAGTCACAGCTGTTAACAAGCTAGGATCAGAGGCAAGACACAAACCAAGAAGAAAAGGTAAAAGATTTTGGTTGTTAGGAAAACAGGTCTCAAATTTAACTATCTGAGTGAAAGATTGAGAAATGCAGAAGTTATAGGCTTTAGTGCCAGTAGAGTCAGTGGCGTTAGAGCCTAGCCATTCAGTTTGATGAGCAATTAAGTCATCAATAACAGCAGTAATGGCAGAGGGTTAAAAAAAGCAAGAATGGAAAGTTTGATTGGAAATTACATCTAAAAGAGAAAAGTGATAGTGTGAAGAGGTGCTAAGTGAAAGCACATAAAAGAATCGTCAAAAGATTCAAACCTGATTTCACAACAAATAGGTGTATTGATGCGTATGTATAACCACAAGTCAAGCATGTAACTTTTTGAGTCTTTGCAAATCAAAGGATTGTACCCATCATCACTAAAATCTGAAGAAAGAATAGTGGAATTTAAATTAGTTTAGCTAAGAGCAAGCAAGTGTACTAAATGTTGCTAGAGGTAAGATTCAACTTATGGAAGATAGCTTAGCTACGGTGTATCATACGTTAAGATTTTTTTTTAAAAAAAGTTTTTACAAAAACCCAGTATATAGAAAATGTGGAACTAATTTAAAACAAACAAACAAAAAATTATATTAAGCTACTGGGAAGTGTGTTTTAAAACTGCATATTTATAGTAAACTTTTTGTTATTAACTTCTTTTTTTTTTTTTTTTTTTAATGTTCGAGGAAAAAAACTAGAGGAATAAGAGTTTTTGAAGCACTTAGGAACAGTCACAGAAAAATATTATAATGAAAAATACTTTCTCTTTTCTACAAATACTATAATGGGCACTGCTCTTTAGAGTATTTATAGAAAAGAGAAAGAGAAGCAACATTACAACAATGTGACAAAGGTTGAATGTTGGCAGCAAGAGCAGGTCCAACAAGGTTTACAATGCAATTTTGCACCTTGTCTAAAAGAGTAATGGCATGATTAAAAGATCCACTCCAGATATGGCAATAGTATTCCATACAATTGAGATTTATAGAGATAGAGAATAGAATCCAGAGTAAGAAAGTGTCAAGCTCGATAAAGAGATGCAACTTTAGCAGATGCTAATTTTGCAACGGATTTGATATATGGTTTCCAAGAAAGATCAGAAGTAATAGTTAATCCTAGAAGATGAAGGGTAAACGACTCATCGAGTATATTACCGTTCATAAATATAGGAAGGTCTAAATTATTGTGATAATGATTGGCTGAAAAAAATTGAGTTTTATCTGAATTAAAGCTCACCAGCCACTGTGAGCCCCATGCTGTAGCAGAAGTGAGATCTTTTTCAAGCTCAAATGCCCCCTGCAAGCAATCAAAGAGAGTTGGCTTCTTATCATGACAAGAATAAATAGTAGTATCATCAGCGAACAATGCCACCTTAGATGCGAGAACATCTGGAAGATCGTTAATGTAGATTAAAAAGAATATAGGGCCAAGTTTTGAACCTTGAGGAACCCATGAGGTTACAGAATAAGAAAAAGAGTGCTGTCCATCAAGGACAACTTTTATACTATGATTGGAAAGGAAGGATTCAATAATCTTAAAAATGTTTTCAGATACACCATAAGAAGAAAGCTTATGGAGAAAACCAGCATGCCAAACTTTATCAAACGCTTTAGGAATGTCAAGAGCAATAGCCTTAACCTCTCCACTTTTATTTAATGTGCAATAAAACCTATCGGTTATTACTGTTAGCAAATCAGCCATAGAATGAGAAGATCAATATCCATATTGATGATCAGAAAGTAAGATGAGAGATTAAGTGTTTGTTAATTAAAGATTCAAAAACCTTGTTTATGATAGGAAGAAGACTAATGGGATGGTAGTTAGACAAATCAGATCGCTATTCAGAATTTTTAAAAATAGAGATAACAAATGCTGCTTTCCAGCAGTCTGGAAAACAAAACTCTGATGAGCACTTGTTGAATACTTTTAAAAGGATGGACGACAGCTCAGGAAAACACTTCTGCAAGACTATAACAGGTATGTTGTCCGGGCCGCAAGCTGTAGAAGACATCTTTCCTGCTTAGAAGTCTAAGCAGGAAATCACTTTAGATACAGAAGCTGGAGTGATATGGATGTTGAGCAATAGATCAACCTGTTTGCCGGCTATGTCAGGTGGAACACAACTAGTGGAATCAAGAGATGATATTGATGAATAGTTCTTAGCAAACAATTCAGCTTTGTCTTTAGGTGAGGTGACAAAGTCTGAACCATTCAAAAGAAGTGGAATTACAGACTTGCCCTTATTATTGATACTATTAAAGTTTCTCCAGAAGTCACAAGAGCCTTATTTTTGTAATGAAGTATGAGATTTCATGACCTGAGAATAGCTGGCTTTGGCATTAGACAAAACCTTTTTACAATGGTTCCTAGTAGTAATAAATAAACGTCTATTTTCTAGAGAATTGTTTTGCTGATAGATATGTAAGTAATGGTTACGATTGGCTATTGCAGCAGCACAATGTGAGGAAAACCATGGAAAAGAGTGAGGCTTGACCTGGAATCGTTGAGAGGGAATAAAGGATTCCATGCCAACCTGAATCCATGAAGTTATGTAAGAAGCACATTTATTAACAGAAAGACAAAAGATTTCTACCCAAGGGCCATCACGAAGAAAATCACGAAAAAATTGCCAGTCAGCTTCAAGTTAGTTGCAAGATGTACAATAACAGGGACATTCTAATGATAAAGAAGAATGAGATAATAGTTTTAGAGAGACCAAGTCATGATTGGAAGCACCTAAGGGTGAATGTGGTGAAACTGAGCACTGACTAGGATTAGAAACAAGACACAAGTCGAGTAGAGAAGGTAAATGGTTTGGGTTGTCTGGAAAGCGAGTTGGAAAGTTGGCTATTTGAGTTAGGGATGACACTGACACTAGAGCCAAGCCAATTAGTGTGATGAACATTAAAGTCACCAACAACAACAATATTGGCTGACGGATAAGGAGAGAGGGCTTGGTCAATATGATCAGAAATAACATCAAGAAGAGTGCAGTCTTGAGATGAAGGAGAGCGATATAGATTAAAGAGAAAGGTGATAGAATGAAGTGGTACTTAACGAAAGCACATAAAAGAGTAGTCTGTATTTAAACCTGGGTGAATTCTTACGAATGTTAATGCCCAGGCCAAGCATGTGATTATTGGAGTCTTTACGAATTAAAGGAAAATAACCATTAACTCTAAGATCACAAGATAAGACAGCTGAACTCAAATTAGTCTCGCAAAGAGCAAATAAGTCTGGTAAAATTTGCAAGAGATAAAACTCAACAGAAAAAAAGTTACTTTGAAGACCACGAATATTAGTGAATGATAGGTTTAGCAAACTCGTTGATGACAGTGGTTTTTTGTGTTTTATAGTTTTTGTTACTTTATTCATTTTTAAATTTGCTAAAGAACTTGACTCGAAACAGATAATGCTCTATATACTGTTTAATAGCCTAAGCAATTGCCTCATTACTATTAATAAACCCTAAGCTGTAACAAAGGGCTCCGATGTTGCCTTGGCAGTGCACACCAAAAGTATAAATAGAGACACCATCCATGTGCAACATGGCACTGTTAGTACTTTGATATTTTTCAGCTGTTGATGGAATCAGCCTCT